TGCATACATAATGTATATGAATATATACATTATATATATCAAATATGAATATATATATATGCACACACACAGGCACATATAATATACCCAGTATGACCTCACTATCAAAGTTTAGTGTAACAGTATGCATATATATTCCACTTTGCTTCTCTGTCATATGTGCTTTTTAAAATTTTGGACCTTCTAATTTTTAGGGTTTTATTTGTGTTATTTAAAGAAACTCATACACACACACATAATGCTAATTAGTTCATAATTATCAGCGTTCTAATTAGTATTGCAAACATATTTTGATTATTTCTGGTGATAATGTAACGTTATTATATTTGATAATGCTACCAATCATTATCAACTACACAAATATCACTAACAAAATATATGTATTAATAGTGTATTGAAAGACATATACCTATTAGGTACATGAGCTGTGCAGTGTTTTGCATGCTATATTTTAGAACAGTCTAATATTTTAAAAATTTCAACATGTAAGAATTCACCTCTATATTAAGTACATTGTTAAGCAGCTTATTATTTAATTTTTGTCTTTCAAATACCAGGTTTCTTCAACAGCGGTTAAAAAAGGCCGTACCTTATAACCGAATGAAGCTAATGATTGTGGGAAATACTGGGAGTGGTAAAACCACCTTACTGCAGCAATTAACGAAAACCAAGAAATCAGATCTTGGGGTGCAAAGCTCCACAGTTGGTATAGATGTGAAAGACTGGCCTATCCAAATAAGAGGCAAAGGGAAGAAAGACCTCATTCTAAATGTGTGGGATTTTGCAGGTATTTATTTTGCTAGAATCTTTTATTCATATTTATCTTTTATTTAGGACAGGGATTTAAAAGCTGAGATTTTGTTCCTGCAAAAGAGCTGGTAGATACTGCAGAGACCTGGTAGATCCTATGGAATTATTCCAAAGCTGTTTACTTCTCCTAATTTTACCCTTGTCACCAGAGTGAATTCCATGGAGGGAAATGTTAGGAACCAATAGGTGGCAGCTGAAGCTTAAATACTTGGTCGGTAGTTGCCACACAGGCTAAAAGTTGTCAATCCCTAGTGAAAACCTGGTATAGTCTTCTAAATGTAATGTCTGTTGGCTTTTTTTCTCTCTCTTTTTTTTTTTTTTGTATGCTAAATAGTAGATATTATCACCTAAATTTTTTTTTAAAGGACTCTTGCCTCTTGTTTGGAAGGCTAAAAAAAAATTCTCCAATCTTTCTTTAGGTCGTGAGGAATTCTACAGCACTCATCCCCACTTCATGACCCAGCGAGCTCTCTACCTTGCCGTCTATGACCTCAGCAAAGGGCAGGCTGAAGTGGACGCCATGAAGCCTTGGCTCTTCAATATAAAGGTCATTTGTTCTACTAATCATTTGGAAGTAGAAAATAATTTTTATTTTTGTGTGTGTAAGATAATTTATTTTGGACAAGCAGCTGCTTCAAATAGTCTCCTCAGCTTTTAAAAATAAAGTTAGAAGCACTAAAATTTTGAGTTGGAGAATTCTTAGTGTCATTAAGTTGTGACATGAAAATAGTGTGTTCCATATTGCTAAATGTTATAGATACTTAAAACCCTTTAACCTGTAAGAGTTGAAAATATATACGTTAAGCTATTTTTGATCATTTTATTTCACTTTATTTTTGAGGGGGGAGGGGCAGAGGGAAAGGGAGAGAGAGAATCATAAGCAGCAGGCTCCATGCCCAACAACCCTGAGATCATGACCTGAGCTGAAATCCAGAGTCGGATGCTTTTTTTTTAATTTTTTTTTTTTAAAGATTTTATTTATTTATTTGACAGAGACACAGGGAGAGAGGGAACACAAGCAGGGGGAGTGGGAGAGGGAGAAGCAGGCTTCCCGCAGAGCAGGGAGCCCGATGCGGGACTCGATCCCAGGACTCTGGGATCATGACCTGAGCCGAAGGCAGACGCTCAACGACTGAGCCACCCAGGCACCCCTGATCATTTTATTTCTTAAATGGAGTATGAACTTTCCTAATTTAAAATAAACTATACTAAACAAAAGCAATCCATGCATCGCCAGCTGTGTCCTCACTGGCAATGTAGTATGGGTTACTTCAGATCTTACACTTTTATTTTTATTTTTTTAAGATTTTATTTATTTATTTGAAAGAGAGAGAGAGCATGAGAGGGGGAGGGTCAGAGGGAGAAGCAGACTCCCCACCGAGCAGGGAGCCCGATGCGGGACTCAATCCCGGAACTCCAGGATCGTGACCTGAGCCGAAGGCAGTCGCTTAACCAACTGAGCCACCCAGGCGCCCAGATCTTACACTTTTAAACGGCACCAGATTAGTATGCTCTTGTATTTGGAATCTCTTTTTGTGATTTTTCCACTTTGTCCCTTGCTGTCATGCTGTTAGGTGTTTCCTGATGTACAGGTTTGTAGAATTGAGATAAAGTAAGAGTGAGTGATGCTCTTTGAATGAAGCTTCAATGGGCTCTTCTGTGAATCAAGTCCTTAAAAAGGTTTGTGTCAGGACATTTTAGCAGATATTTTGGCTGCCTACAAGCTCAATTTGTAATTTTGGTAATTTTTTATCTTCCTTTTTTGGTCATAACTAGCCAAAGTGAGCGAATATTATAGTGGCAGTCATACTTGTGTTAGTGCCTTTTTGTGTTGTTGTCCATGTGGACAACAAATTGAATGACTTTAAGTTGAATTTAGGAGATTGAATTTACAGATAAGGAAGTGAAAATATAAACCATATTAGGTCACTTTGATACAGTCTTGGGTTTATTAAATGCTTATTTTATTTAGAAGTCCAAAGTACACTTAGAGAGTAACCCATTTTAAGGCATAAAAGAAAAGAAAAGGAAAATAGACTACTACTGTTATATAAGCTGCCTGAAAGGTGGTAACTTGGAATAAGAAGGGACATAAGAATGACTTTAAAATTTCTTAAGGTTACATTTCTTCCCCCTAGGTTTAAGGAAGGGAACATAGTTAACATTTTCTTCTTCTTGACATCTTTCGATTTTTCATTTCCACTCAACTGAATTTCATAAAAAGTGACTATGAACGGAACTGTAAGCAGTCTTGATTTTAAAACAAACACAAGAGTATTTTATACCATTTCTTGTAGGCTCGTGCTTCTTCTTCCCCTGTGATACTCGTTGGCACACATTTAGATGTTTCTGATGAGAAGCAGCGCAAAGCCTGCATAAGTAAAATCACCAAGGAACTCTTGAACAAGCGAGGGTTTCCTGCAATAAGGGATTACCACTTTGTGAATGCCACTGAGGAATCCGACGCTTTGGCAAAGCTTCGGAAAACCATCATAAATGAGAGTCTTAATTTCAAGGTAATGTGGTTAATGCCTACTGTAGACTGGTGGATAAATTTAATTGATTCACTCTCATGTTATGCAACTGCTTAGAAATGTCAGAGTGTTGAGAAAAGAACGACTATCTTAAAATTGTGGTTTTTTTCATTGATGTTAGCATTATTAAAATGCTTCAATTTTAAAGTTGCTTACTTATGCATACCTTATTTCAAATGTATAGAAATGGGAATAAAAATAATTAGAGGATCCTGAAGGAAACTAAGATTGTCTGAGAAACTGAGAGAATATTTCTGAGAGAATCTGAGATCATGTTTCTGATGCCCTTTTCCTCACAGCTTTTTGTGGTGGTGATTGAAAGAATACAAGTGAATATTGGGGTCTTGGGATCATCCTTCCTCTCTTGTTCTTTGTTTTCACCACTTGCTCCTTTCTTTTGGAGTTCCTGTTTTATGTGCATCTTCATATTCTGTGCTGCTCCTTCGAGTCTCTTGTCACTGTGATACCCATTCCACCTGTTTTTTTTTCCCCTCAGTACTGTGAGATGCCTCTTTCCTGGGGTTGCCAAGATCAGGAGTTTGATTTTCAACAATGTCTTAACAATTTTTTAGTCCATATAAACTGGACTTTCTATTTTAGAAATTATGTTTTCATTTCCAAAGTTCTAGTAAGCCAAATGTAATTCATAGGGTTCATAAAACATACATAAATTGGTTATTGAGAAGAATACTTGTTTCTAATACTTCCAGGAAAATCTTTCCGGAGTTCCACAGATGCCGTGGTATAAACTGCCCTGAAAATTCCTCACATAGTTCAATATGCCAAACCCAATGGTGAATTTCACTGTTAGTCCCTGTTGGTTTAGCTCATTAGCACTAATGATCAAGGCCATGGCTTATAACGAGGGTCCTGTTTTGCCTGGGCATTCCCAGCATAATTAATAGTGCCCCACTACGTTCTCAAAAGCATTCCAATTTGGATGATAAATTACACAGTCACCCTGGTTATAATGTGTTGGCCAGCTAACTTAGTTCTGTTCCATTTGCACAGATTATGCTCCTATCTAAAACCTAATGAGCCATTTATAAATGTGTTGGTCTTTGTGGTGCCCAGGGAGAGAATTTGCATGTTTGTATCTTTCAACACATTTATCATAGTCTCTAAAAGGTTTTACCAATGGTGGGTCAGTAATGGCATCTTATGTAAGAAGAATGACATAGTATTTATTTGCAAATTTTCCTGCTCTCCTGTTGGACATATGATTAGAGTAATGCGACTTTGAAGAAACAAATACACAAAATTCATGCATCCAATTAAATATTCTCTTTATCCAGGCAGTTTTCTTCTGAGACTATACCTGTACTTCCAGAACTTTATTGTTCCTTATAACATTTTAATAGCTATTTTTATCATATATGTTGGCGCATGTATCATATTTTTAAGAGACTTCTTGGAGAATAGTTTGTTTTGAAAAAGGCTGAATTTAGTGGAAACAAGTAGATAAAGTATGGATAGTTTAGTTGAAGTATGGATGAGCTGGTTGGTTCATCTGACTGGACTACTAGTACTTTAGCATGATAGCAAGTTATCACTATCAGTCAATAAGACCAGTTTTCTTCCTGCACTTGTAAATGAATTCTGAAGCCGACACAAGGAGGGAAAACAAATGCTTTGAGAAATGGCTGCATTATTTGAAGAAAGATGTATATTGCTAATGGTTGCATCATTCTGGCATTTTAGTTTGAAAATCTGTTTGATTGCTTTGCAGAATACTGGCTCTTTCCTGATCTTTCAGAACCAGTGAACCTGCCAGAACTGTATATTCTTTCCTCCCTGAGATGTTTTAACGTGTATTCAGATAGCAGCTTTTTTAAGCTATTAGAAATAATTTTTTGCCTTGTCATTTGTTTTCCATTTTCTCCTCCTATCTTGGCTCTTCTCTAATCTTTCCTTGTCTCACCCTTATTAACATGTATCTCTCCAGACTCTAGGATAATTTTTTTTTCTTTTTTGGCTCTTGGTGACCCTAAATCAAGCTAAAAGGAGAAGTAGGACAAAATGGAATTCAGTGACAACATTATCCCTTTCAATCTTGTCCAGCCCATTAGCAGAGCAGGATGCTCTGCTGGGCCTGAAACTCAGCCCTATGAAATTCATCCCTTTGCTATGTAGTTTGTTTTCTGTGAGAACCCTTGTTTACTTCTCTATGTAGGTTTTCTTTCTTGGGTTAAAACACAACCTTCAATATGAAGTTCTATTTTGTCTTAATTTTCAAATGATGAAGAGAGGAAATATGAAAAGTAGAGATTAGTGGAATTACATTTAATTTGCTGGGGCATTGGATATATGAAAACAATTTTTCGAATGACTGGAGGTGAATATGTAAGTAGTAGTATGGCTGCTATAAATAAAGCTTCTTAAAAAGTTCCAGTTACGAGTAAAAAAAATAGCACCTTAAATTTGCATGTGTATGTGTAATAAAACCCAATTTCCATTTATAATAAGTTTAAGAATTTAAGTAGAAATTGTCAGGTAAAAAGAATACAAGAATACATACATGGGTTGAGCAATGGGGAGAGTTTGCCATCTGGTGGTTTTCAGAGGCATTTTATTTATTTATTTATTTATTTATTTATTTAAGATTTTATTTATTTATTTGAGAGAGTGAGAGAGAGAGCCCAAGAGGGGGTAGGGTCATGTGGAGAAGCAAACTCCCTGCTGAGCAGGGAGCCCAATGTGGGACTCGGCATCATGACCTGAGCCAAAAGCAGTCGCTTAACCAACTGAGCCACCCAGGCGCCCCTCAGAGGCATTTTAGTTACTGTGTTAACAGTTGCATTTCTATTTAAAATTAGATTTTCCTGGGGGGGGGAGGTTTGGGAAAGATTTTTTATTATAGAAATTATCATCTTAAAGCCATTCTTTAAAAATTTTTATATATTTCAGTTAGTAGACAATGATTAGATTATAAGTGTAACAAACCAAAAAAAATCATCCTCTCATGTCAAAATCACTTGTTTAGATGAGTTTTTATTTTGCCAAGTTTGAAGTTCCATGAAAAAGCATAGGTTGGGTGAGGAGACTTCATGTCTATCTCTGTTGATATGTATATTCCATTAATGCAACATTTTGCAAATACCAAGCACAAAATTTAATGTTTTACCTTATGGCATGGATATTTAATCTAATCAATAAGACCCCAAAGCTTTTGTAATACTTCTTACTCACTTCTAATGCTAGCATATCTATTGCATATATGTCTAATGTCTTAGAAAATAGTAAATCCTTTATTTATGGTTAGTGATTTATCCTGGATTATGTCATGGGTTTTCTGGATGGTTAGATGAATATTTCCATATTATTTTGTTTGATAGTTCTTTGTAAATTGGCTTCTGTGTTTATATTTTTCTTATTTTAATATCACTTTATTCTTCACAATTTAAATAGTTTTACATCACATTTTGATTTTATTAAAAAATATATTTCTGAATAATATATCACTTTCTTAACAGCTATTAGCACTGCATTTACCAACCACCTGACAAACATAGGAGTAAAATGGATTTTTACAGCTTGTCATTTGTAATTACACAGATTCGAGATCAGCCTGTTGTTGGGCAGCTGATTCCAGACTGCTATGTAGAACTTGAGAAAATCATTTTATCAGAGCGTAAAAATGTGCCAATTGAATTTCCTGTAATCGACCGGAAACGATTATTACAACTCGTAAAAGAAAATCAGCTGCAGTTGGATGAAAATGAGCTTCCTCATGCAGTTCACTTCCTAAATGAATCAGGTTTGTGTGTTTGTTACATATTTTTTTCAAAGCCCCACTGTAATCATTTATAAAAATGTATCTGAACCTTGTATAGAATTTACATACAAAACTTAACAGAATATCCATAAAATTCTTTGACCATTGACTTTTTCCTTTTGAAAGGTCATCATGTGCAATAATTTTGAATTTTCATATGCCATATTATATAAAAAAACATTTCGAAGCCATCTAAGGGCAGTAGTGGGAAGGGTATTCGAGTAGGAGTTAAAACATGTGGGTTCTAAAAATTGACTTAACTATTCAGGAGCTTTGGGACCCTGAGCACAAGCCATATCCTTCCAAAGTATCAGTTGAATTTAGTGTGTGTGGAGTTATTTGTATACTATAAAGGGGAATTATTATTGGGTTGGTCTAACTGGACACTTAGAGAATCAGTGGTTACCTGAGATAATGCACCTTTTGAATGGCAGATCTTGCCTGTTGCATCGCAAGTCATAGTGCGATCTCACAGATGAAAACACTCACACCAGCTTCTGTGCTATTTGGGTGCTTGATCAGTATGACCTTGCTAGAAATGTGTGAGTTGATTTGTAGTACTAGAGTAAGTGGCCAAGAAGCTGCCTTTAATCCCTAGATTCTGTTGTATGAAAAATAAATCTTCACATGGATTATAATCTTTTCCTTTTCTTCCATTATTTTTAAACCAGTAGCTTTGTGCAATGTTCTGTGTTTCTTACCTATATTTGAAAATAAAGTATCTTTGTAGAATATATTTAGAAAACTAAAGACAATTATCATATGGTTTCACTCACATGTGGAATATAAGGAATAGCGTGGAGGACCACAGGGGAAGGGAGGGAAAACTGAATGGGAAGAAATCAGAGAGGGAGACAAACCATGAGAGACTCTGGACTCTGGGAAACAAACTGGGTTACAGAAGGTGTGGGGGGTGGATAGGGTAACCGGGTGATGGGTATTAAGGAGGGCGTGTGTTGTGATGAGCACCGGGTGTTAAATGCAACTAATGAATTGTTAAACACTACATCAAAAACTAATGATGTACTATACAGTGGCTAACTGAACATAATAAAAAAAATTGTGAATTTTTTATTATTTATAAATATATGCAAGACAGTGCATGTCACTGTCTCAAATATGGTTCTACATGATCATTTTATCTAGTTAAAAAATACTTTATAATATTTGGACTTAGAGCTCAGGAACTGGGATGCCCAGGTTCTAGTCTCAGCTCTTCCACTAACTGCGCTGAGATTTCCTCATTTGTAAAATAAGGAGGTTGGACTAGAGACTCTCTAAAGCCCCTTGCTATTTGTATATTGTAGATTCCATGTTTCACTGTTTGATTTTTACTACAGGGGTCCTTCTTCATTTTCAAGACCCAGCACTGCAGTTAAGTGACTTATATTTTGTGGAACCCAAGTGGCTTTGTAAAGTCATGGCACAGGTTGGTGTCTGATACTTTTGTAGCAGGGGGTAATGATTGAAGAGAAGCACAATGATTGAAGAGTATTGAGCATTATAGATTTTGTGTTCAGTTAAGGTAGAAGATCCTGCACATGTAGAATACTGTAGAACAATTCATGTAGAAGACTGCATTAAGTAGAGCTTCATGGAAGAAGGGAAGATGTCTGAGAATTCACTTCCAACTTACAAACAGTTGTTTACCACTCTGTTCCACAGTGCTTTTCTAGATCCCGGTGACACTTTGGTTTGGTTATTGATAGAGTCAGTTGAATGTGAAAATCCTTGGGGGCAAATATACCTAAAAAAATTGGGTTGATGAGGGGCGCCTGGGTGGCTCAGATGGTTAAGTGTCTGCCTTCGGCTCAGGTCATGATCTCAGGGTCCTGGGATCGAGCCCCGCATCGGGCTCCCTGCTTGGCATGGAGCCTGCTTCTCCCTCTCCCTCTACTGTTCCCCCTGCTTGTGCTCTCTCGCTCTCTCTGTCAAATAAATAAATAAAATCTTTAAAAAAAAATTGGGTTGATGAGCATAAAACCTTTAGCTAGGTAACATGGAGGGGAGTTTTGCCTCTTGAGTGGAATATAAGCTCTAAATGCTTACAGTTTTGAAAACTGGATGGTGATGGTTATGGCTGTCCTTTCTCCATTTGTATTTCATATGGAAAAATTTTTCTTCTGCCAATGATAATCAATTACCAAGAGTTTATCTTAGTTATAACCCATCTCTATAGGTTTGCCATAGAAAACCATTCAAGCAGAATATACTAGCTCGGTGTTTTTCAATGTCAGTACTTTTGACATTTTGGACCAGATAATTATTTGTTGTACATTATAGGATGATTAGCAGCATTTTTGTCTCTACCATCTAGATGCAAGTAGTATTGCCCCAGATGTGTCTGGACGTTACCAAATATTGGTGGGGGTGCAAAATCACCCTTGTTGAGAACAGCTGCATCTAGCATAATCATGAACTGAAGTGAGCTCGGGAGGCTGTCTCTAGCACATGTACTCAAGGGCAACTATCTTGTTTGTGAACATAATTTACAGTTTGGAATGTGAATCCCTGAATTCCTAAAATAATTCTACCTTTTTACATTAGAATCACCTCTTCTAATTAAACCACAATAGTAATTAAATTCCCTCATAATTTTGAATGATAGTTCCTAAATTTTATCTAAGGGAAAAAAGGAAGATATTTTGGAGAGGGAACTCATTTTGGGCTAAATCCTATATCATGGACCTTGAGAGCATATTGAAACATTACTGCAATTGGCTATTGTAACATGATGGTAATAACTATTTTGGTAGATATTTTTAAGGTAGATTTTCCTCCTTTTGCAAATATGCCATAGAAAGTGTGAGTCCACTCATCTGCTAAATGGGAATGAAGCTGGTAGAATGGTCAAGAGCACAAGCTCTGGAGTCAGGATGACCTGTGTTCAAATTTCTTCTATATCTTTCCTAACTTTGTGACATTTCTTAATGTTTTAAGCTTTTGTTTCTTCACTTGTAGAATAAGGATAATAACAATATTATTTTCTACATTGCTTCCCTAACTTAATATAAGTGAGAAGTAAATGTTAGCTAATTTAATGTTTGACCTATTTGGTAATTAAAGATATTATTTTAGGAAATTTAAAAAATCTTCAAAATTGTAGTGATGCATCCATGTAGTTTTGGAAAGTGTGCCAGGTACAGAGCTAAATAAAAAATATGTGTAGGTGGGTGCGTTCTGTACAGCAAAGGGAGTTTTAAATATACCCTGAATATTTTGTTGTCCTAGATGGCACACTATATCAGAAAATAACTAAACTCTATATAGTCAAGAAAAGGCTAAAGTTACACTAAAAAATGGTGTGCTTCCATGTAAATTGGGAATATTTAAAGTTGCACAGATGTGGATAATATGGGGGGGGCGTATCTTATTCAGTAGAATAAAGAAGTGGTTTGCATCCGAATCACCATCTTTTAAAAAAAAACAACCTTCCACCATAACCACGGTAAAATCCCTGAGGATTCATGGGGTAATTAAGTTGAAACTCCATGAAAGTTCTTATTAGCATAGTTATACTATAAACATGATAATTTAAGTGAAAATTAAGTCAAGAATTTGCATAGTTCAAAGTTATATTGAAAGATAGATCTAAAGAGTCAGTGGAATAATAATTTAAATTTCTTATTAATTTAACAAATACCATATTTTTTATGCTGATATATTAAATTATGTCATTTTCACCAAGACTTAAAGAGAATGAAAACTATAATCAAGTGAAAACAAGAATGACTTGTCTGACACCCATCAGCAAAAAAATAGGGGTATTCACCTCCATGAATCACCAAGGCAAAGGCAGAAAGTTTCATGGTGCAGAAGCTCTAATGAACCTACCCAACTTCTCTGTGCCTTAGACTAAACTTATTAAAGAAGTTTCCATTGCTGCACAGAGAAGTTTACAAAACTCATTTAACCATATGATAAAAGAGAGATGAAAGGCACTTATTGAATTAATCAGGTGGAACATTAACAAGCTTGCATGGCAATTTAATCTTGATTAAAAACTTGGGTGAGGAATTTGGAAAATTTTCTGTCTTTGCATGAGGGCACAAATTAGCATTATAAGTTACTAGGCTGAAGGAATATTAAGAGTTCTTTTAAAGGTGATAAAATTAAGATAATGTTTTAGTTTTTTATTGCTATGTAACAAGATACCCCAAAACTTGGAGAAAACAAGTAAAGTTGGAGTAAAACATCAATATTTTATTGTTTCTCACTGTTCTTTGGGTTGACTGTGCTCAGCTGAGTGGTTATGCTCCACATGGCATTGGCAAGGGTCATTCACTTGGCTTCCTTCATTGAGCCAGGCTGGAAAGCCCAAGAAAACTACATTCACATTTTTGGTGTATTGGTACTCTTCCATGTAGCCTCTCTTATGACCAGTCCTTTCAAAGGGTAAGCCCAGAACTTATAAAGTGTCAGTTCTGCCACATTCTCATGACTAGAATAACCATAAGGCCCATCCAGATTCAAGAGGAGGAAGAATGAATGGATTTCATTTCTTGAAAGATTGAATACCATGCATGTGTAGGGAGAGAAGAAATTCATGTGTCCATCTTTGGAAACTATCTACTACAAATAGTGGTAGCACACCATAGATCTACTAAAAAAAATCTAGCACAACCTTCTGTTTTAAAATCAGTATGCCTAGGGATGCATGGCTGGCTCAGTCAGAAGAGTGTGCAGCTCTTGATCCTCAAGGTTGTGGGTTCAAGCCCCATGTTGGGTATAGACATTACTTAAATAAATAAACTTTAAAAAATTAAAAAATAAAGTCAATGTGTCTAAATAAAATAAATTAGAATTCTAAGTATACAAAAATGCCTAACATACAAGGGCTACTTGTGCATTATCCAAACATTTTCTCATGTAATTCTCAGATCAGTTCTTTTAAATGGTATTATATTAGTCCTCATCGTGAAGATGAAGAAATTGATGGACAGAGAAGTTAAATAATTTATCCAAAGCTACATATTTAGGAACAAGTAGAGTTAAGATTTCAAACTAAGTAGTTTGACTCCGGTGCCTATAAACCTAACCCCAGGATAAAATGCTCCAAACGTCTTTTTTCCCTAATTCACTCATCCAACAATATTGATCTGACACCTACAGTGTTCGAGATACTGTTCTGGTGGGGGCTGTAAGCATAGATAAAACAAGGTTCCTGCATTCATGAACCTGACATTCAAATGGGAGGAAATAAACAATTAACACTTAAAATGTCAGGTGATAGAGTGCTATAAAGAAAAAAGTATGGTGGGGATAGAGAGTGAGCTGTCAGACAAGGTCTTAGCAACTTTAAAAATGCCAGAACAGCAAAAGTTTTCCTTACCACCTAAATTGTAAGAGCAGTCTGGGCTATAACGTGCACAATATGGGAGAAGTCCCAAACTGCAGTTTTTATTATTTACTGACGTATTTATACGTTGTCATTATACATTATGTTCAGCCAATCATGCTTTCATTGATTCAATAAACATTGTATGTACCAAATAGAGATAAAGAGATGAGGGAGACAAGTCCTTGGGTCTAAGGATTTTACAATCCAATATTTCACCCAGCTACATGATAATGTACATAATATATAGTCCTATGGAACTATCCCTTACATGTTAAAGATCTACTAAAGAAATTAAGCACAAACCTTTGCAAAAATTAATTTGGCTAAGTAAAATGAATAGGAATATGTGGCCAGTAATGGCTAACATACAAGGGCTTACTATATGCTAAAAATTGTCATATGCACCTTGCATGCCTTATGTATGTTATCTTATTTCAGTGTCATGGCAGTCTAAGGGATAGTCACTTTTATTATCTGATTGAAGCTGTGGCTTAAGGAAATTATATACCTTTCTCAAGATAATACAGCTAGTACTAGAGCCTGGATTGAACCTGGGTTCTTCTGAATTTATACTTTTAACTGCTATGATGATGGTCAAAGCTGAAAGGTCAAAACTTAACTGCTGTGATGATGGTCAAAGCTGAAACTATGGTCTTTACAGTAGTATCATCTGAGTTTCTTGTTAAACAAGCAGATTCTCAAGCTTCATCCCAGACCTACTGATCTAGACTCCAAAATTCTGTAGTTACAAAGGAATCACTAAACTGTACTATACTGCTTCCCTTCCCATTGATAGAAACCATTTTCTATTCTCTAAATGTAAAGTAACATGTCTATGGCAAACCTGTAGTGAGAACACAGTCTGGAAGATAATTTCCCTGTGAATATATTGTTGATGAGACTATAATAAGGATGGGGGTGTTGGATAGATCTGTTAACTGGAGCTGGGGAAGGCTTAAGATTCATTGATTTCCTTATATGGAACATAAGGAATAGCATGGAGGACATTAGGAGAAGGAAGGGAAAAATGGGGGGAGGAGGAATTGGAGGGAGAGATGAACCATGAGAGACTATGGACTCTGAGAAACAAACAGGGTTTTAGAGGGGAGGGAGGTGGGGGGATGGGTTAGCCTGGTGATGGGTATTAAGGAGGGCACGAACTGCATGGAGCACTGAGTGTTATATGAAAACAATGGATTGTGGATCACCACATCAAAAGCCAATGATGTATTGTATAGTGACTAACATAACATAATAAAATTAAAAAAAAAAAAAAAGACGGTAACTCAGCAACTGAGATACTCAACCAAGGTTTAAAAAAAAAAAAGTAGTAAGTCATGTTTCGTAAGTGGTAAAGAAAGGTTTAACATTTGGAAAAACTTTGTTCATCGTACTAATAATTGGGTCAAAAAGGGAAATTATGTCAAAATGAAAATGTGTTAAAATTAGAAATAGGGTGGGGGGATGGGTTAGCCTGGTGATGGGTATTAAATAGGGCACGTATTGAACGGAGCACTGGGTGTTATACGCAAACAATGAATCATGACACACTACATCAAAAACTAATGATGTAATGTATGGTGACTAACATAACATAATAAAATAAAAAAAATTAGAAATAAAAAAAGATTCATTGATTTCAGAGGATCTCTTTAATTTTGGATTTGAATTCACTCCCTTAATTTAATAAATCTTTTGTGGAGGAGTGATTGCCCCACTGGGCTTCCAGGTTACATAGCCGCTAGTAGAGAACTTAGGTCCTGTGTTATACTTGAAAACATTAAAATTGTTCTGATCATTTTCACCGAGCAAAGACATGAAATGCCTTAAATTCAAAACCTTTCAGAAAATAGGGGCACCTGGGTGGCTCAGTCGGTTAAGCGTCTGACTTTTGGTTTCAGCTCAGGTTATGATCTCAGGGTCCTGGAATAGAGCCCCAAGCCCTGAGCCCCACACTGGGCTTTGCACTCAGCGGGGAGTCTGTTTTCCCCCTCTCTCTCTCCCTCTGCCCCTCCCCCTGCTCATGCACACTCTCTTTCTCTCTCTAAAATAAATAAATAAATCTTAAAAGAAAAACTTCAGAAAATAAATTCTAGTGATTTTTAACAAGGTTAAATCTTTCAGATTTTGACAGTGAAAGTAGAAGGCTATCCAAAACATCCTAAAGGAATCATTTCACGTAGAGATGTGGAAAAATTTCTTTCAAAGAAGAAGAGATTTCCAAAGAACTACATGTCACAGTACTTTAAACTCCTAGAAAAATTCCAGATTGCCTTGCCAATAGGAGAAGAATATTTGCTGGTTCCAAGCAGGTAAACCTAAACTTAAAAATTCAATTACCCTGTGGAAATTCACCATCTATTATATGTTTTGTCAAAATAACTTTGGTTTATTATAAATGTATTAATTTGTTTTGATTCTTGTGCACAATTTCTATTGAAATGTAGCATTTACTTTTAATGAAAACACTATATTTGACATTTTAAAGTTATAGTAAATACTTGTTTTGTGTATATAATTACTATTTCGTTAACCACTGCTTAAATTACTTAAGAAAGGTAAATAGTGATTTGTGTGTGTGTGTGTGTGTGTTCGTGTGTATCCTTACATGGCATTGAGAGAGTTATATTCAACAAGTTCTGGGGAGATAGTGAGTTTTCATCAGAAGAATTATGGCAGTGAATTTTGTGAGGAAAATGGCAATACAATGAAGGCCTACATTCTAATCCTGTATTATAGAAATTTTTCTTGTTGCTTTATATTTTCTTACTGCTGGGAAATGTTATAAGGTGTATGGCATTAAAAAGTGAAAATTGCATTGATTGGTAGATGCTATCCAATTCCAAAAATACATATACACTTTTTTCTGGGACATGCATTTTTTCAAGTTTTATATAATCCCTTAAAACTTGTCTATGCATAACTAATTGTAATAATTTATTTATTAGTGTAAATAGGATTGCTGAAAAAATGTCATGCATCTGAGCATGCATTTGAATTGATTAATCGGCCACTGAATTTTTGAAGAAGGAAGGGCATGTCTCAAAAGAACATTATCAAAAAGTGCAATTGCCTAGAATATTTATCTTCAACTCATTGATTTTAAGGAGGAATGCACTTTGGTTAACATGGTTGGGTGTTTTATGAAGCTATATAATGCTGATGTCCTTTTCTCTTTAGTTTGTCTGACCACAGGCCTGTGATAGAACTTCCCCATTGTGAGAACTCTGAAATTATCATTCGACTATACGAAATGCCTTACTTTCCAATGGGATTTTGGTCCAGGTTAATTAATCGATTACTTGAAATTTCACCTTACATGCTTTCAGGAAGAGGTATGTATTTAATGAAGACTTAATATTTGAGAAGTTAGGGGGAAAGCGTATTAAAATTGTCATGTCATTTTTCACAGAGTTTACTTATTTGTAAGGCCACTGAAAATCAGAAAATAAGTTCATAAGACTTCAGAGTAGCCACAGAAAGACACATAGGCTCACATAAGTTCATGCAGTTTGTCAAAAAGGAGATTTCTCAAGTCCTCACTCAAAACCTTTTTGTTTTTATTTTAGACACACTTAGAATAAGTATGAATATCTTGCTTTCCAGGCCAAAGTAGACTAGAAGCAACAATTTTAGACGGTAAGATTATGAGGAGTCATTGGTGTATAAACACACACACACACACACACACACAAATGAACAAAGAAAAACCAGAAGTGACTATCACTGCAAAGCCAGGGAGTTTTACTTAACAAAGGTAACCAGGTTGTGACCATTCAGACCATTCAGTGTAGAGACTTAAATAGCTCTCTTCTGCTGCACAATTCCTGAGGGATTTATAAAAATGAATAAAAATGAGTGTTTATAATGCTAGCTCTTTCTTCTGGAAGAAAGGGAGACCTTAGTGCTCCAAAGGGAAAATATCATTTTGGGGGGGGTTAAAAATAGCTTTATGCAGGTGTTACTGTATTCTGAAATAAACCTTATCTTGCTTGCAATTAATAAATATATAGGTAGTTACATTGCATTAAAACGAAACATTCAGGAAGTTTTGATTTGAGTGTGACAACCAACCTCCTTTTAAGAGTTTTAAAAGTTATGAGAACTTGGCGTGCTTGGGTGGCTCAGTCGGTTAAGTATCTGACTTGATCTCAGGGTCATGAGATCAAGCCTGCTTAAGATTCTCTCTCTCCCTCTTTCTCTGCCCCTCCCCAAGCCCCCACTTGGGCGTGCTCTCTCTCTCTTAGGACAAAAAAAATTAAAGTTATCAGAACTTATTTATGATTCTTTTTCTTCTCTTAAATATATTAAACTATTTAACATTGTGAACTTGAACTCTCTCTTGGGTTACCTACTGGGCATTTTGTTTATTTGCTTGCAAAATTAAGGCTAAAATACTTAATTTCATGTATAATAGATATGGATGAGGACTTGTATCATTAACAATTCCAATACTGTGTTTCAAAACAAATATGTCTCTATTAGTTACTTGTGGCATGTGCAGTGATTTTTCTGCTTCTTTAATTTATGGAATAGTTCATAATTAATGGACATATTTGGGTCCATTTAAACTTCTTTCAGAACGAGCACTTCGCCCAAACAGAATGTATTGGCGACAAGGCATCTACTTGAATTGGTCTCCTGAGGCTTATTGTCTGGTAGGATCTGAAGTCTTAGACAATCACCCAGAGAGTTTCTTAAAAATTACAGTTCCTTCTTGTAGAAAAGGTAAGGAAATTAATTCAAAACTTTGAAATGTACCACTAAAGAAATTTAAACTTTTTTTTAAAAAACTCTGTAATTTCCAGCTTTGAAACAGAATATGGTTCAGATAGGATGTTGATGAGCTCTCCTTTGGATTACGTAGGCTGTATTCTTCTGGGCCAAGTTGTGGACCACATTGATTCTCTTATGGAAGAATGGTTTCCTGGATTACTGGAGATTGATATCTGTGGTGAAGGAGAAACTCTGTTGAAGAAATGGGCATTATATAGTTTTAATGATGGTGAAGAGCATCAAAAAATCTTACTTGATGACTTGACGAAGAAAGCAGAAGAAGGTAGTGTTGATATAACTTTCACATGTTTTTAAGTGATACTTTCAATATTTGTGGAGTTTTGTAATAAATGTAAAAATTATTCTTATCCATAAGGGATGAGTTAGAGGATACTACATTCAGTTAGAGTGACAGCTGAGAAAGATGGATTGTATCTGTTACCAATAAGACCTTTGTGTTCTAGATTCAGAACATTTTGGGTTTGAGAGTTTGAATACTGGCTTACTGAGCAACATAACCTCATCTGCGAAATAGGAATACTAAAACCTACCTCATAGAATTGTTATGAGGATGAAAATAGATGATTCATGCTTCCGGAATTTGGCTATTGTAAATAATGCTGCAGTAAACATAGGGGTACATTATCTTCTTGAATTAGTGTTTTCATTTTCTTTGGGTAAATACTCAGTAGTGGAATAACAGAATCAAACGGTATTTCTATTTTTAATTTTTCAAGGATAATCCACACTGTTTTCCACAGTAGCTGCACCAGTTTGCATTCCCACCATCAGCACATGAGGGTTCTTTTTATTTCACATCCCTGCCAACACTTGTTGTTTCTTGTTTTTGATTGTAGTCATTGTGACTGGTATAAGGTGATATCTCATTGTGGTTTTGATTTACATTTCCCTGATGATTAGTGATGTTGAGCAACCCAAATGTCCATTGATAGATGATTGAATAAAGAAGATGTGGGGTATATGTATATATGTGTGTGTGAGTACTCAGACACACAGTGGAATATTACTCAGCCACTAAAAAGAATGAAATCTTGCCATTTGCTACAACATGAATGGATCTAGAAGGTATAATGCTAAATGCAATAAGTCAGACAAACAAAGACAAATACCATATGATTTCACTCTTTGTAGAACTTAAAAAACAGAACAAACAAACAAAGGAAAAAAAAAGAGGCATGAAAAACCCAGACTCCCAGAAGGGAGGTGGGTTGGGAGATGCATGAAATAAGTGAAGGGGATTAAGAGTAGGCTTATCATGATGAGCACTGAGAAATGTAAAGAAGTGTTGAATCATTATATTGTACACATGAAACTAATATAACACTGTATGTTAATTATACTTGCATAAAAAATAAAATAGGATGATACATAGAAAAACTTAGCAACTTGTTAACCATGCAATAAGTGCCCTCACAAATGTGGTAAAAGTAGAGAACAGATTATTTCTATTCTCTACAGATGTCAGATAGGTCTAAGGCAGTTCTGAATGTAGTTTGTAATGAGTGAACCTAGGAATAAGTTTTTAACTTTCCAAATAGATAGGTATTAATCGAACCTCTAAAACTTTCTCAGATTTTCTAGAGAAAAATAAGATTGGTAAGAAAACCTAAAAGAGTGATTAGAAATAATAGGAAATGTGATTTTTTGTGCAATTTTATGTACATCCTTAAAAGTTTGTTTAAAAAAAATGTTTTATGTACTTCTCAGGAGACCTTCTGATAAATCCAGATCAACCAAGGCTCACCATTCCAATATCTCAAATTGCTCCTGACTTAATTTTGGCTGACCTGCCTAGAAATATTATGTTGAATAATGATGAATTGGAATTTGAACAAGCTCCAGAGTTTCTCCTAGGTAACTATTTTTGTTGGTTTGAGAATAAAAATTAGGATGTAATTTTTTCTTATAACCTAGAAAATATTCAAATATATTGTCATAGTTTGTAGTGTCTTCATATATTTGTTATAATGGTTTTTTTTTTTCCGGAATGATCTATTTGAAAGTAATATGTTACAGACATGGAGTTTGCTTTGCACACATTCTTATGGACTAGGTTCAAGATCAGGATGGGCTGCTGTGGAAGCACACATATTTGTGAAATATGTCCTTGCATTTGCTTTAAGTGCCGGAAATGGAGGAAGCGGATAAGAAGATTTTCAATTGTGTAATGCAGTCATTTTTCAGTCTCAAAAAGACAGAATAAATAAAGGAAGAACACCTCGAGGTAGTCAGAGGAGCAGTTTTGTTCCTCCGGATGACAAGGATGAATTCTCATAAAAATAGTCATAAAAAGCAGTTTGGGATGAAAAATTGAGAAGCATTAAGTTGGTGACATACTCAAGTCTTGAGAGTCATTGGGAACCTTCTTGAGAGTCATTGGGAACCATGAAGAGCATTGGGTTGAATTAATGTAAAGTATTTGAAGACAGTTCTGGCTTTACTTTGTGGAGTATTCATTGTTGTGTCTGTCTATATTTAATTTTAATTAAATTTCCAGAGAAAGAATGCCTAAAATATGTCTGTCAGTACATTAAAATTATTAATAAAGAATGTCCAAAATTTGGGACATGACATGTAAAGGCAAACTGCTTTGTACTTTTATTCTTCACATCAATTGAGAAATTTAGAATGAATTTGAATGCTTTGGAACTCTGGAAGTGAATATATTAGTAATAGTGGATTAACACAAAATGCTGAATTGTCAATGCCAAATCCTAGATCTTAACCAATACCAAACTTGACTTGTGATTCCAATGGTACAGGTAAGTACCAGTCATACTGTAGTCTTTCTCTGAAGGGGTCTCAAGCTTCAGACAAAACTCCCCAGAATAACTCTTAGTAGTGCATTAAGATGTATCTCATATTAATGGACCCCTTCTGAGCAATGTATGTAGAAATGTTCACAGAATTAACTTTGAAGTTCTTGTGGGATTTTTTTTTCAGTTTTATTGATATAATTGACATACAGCGCTGTGCAAGTTTAAGGTGTACAGCAAGTGATTTGACTTTACATATATCATGAAATGATTAACCACAATGAATTTAGTTAAAATTGATTATCCCATATAGATATAAAATAAAAGAAAAAGAAAAAATATTTTTTATTGGTGTTGAGATATTACAGGATTAACTCTTTTAACAACTTTCAATATATATCACATAGCAGTGTTAACTGTAGTCATCATGCTGTGCATTCCACCCCTAGTAATTATTTATCTTATAACTGGAAGTTTTTACCTTTGACCACCTCCAAAAGCACCTGTGTTCTGTATTCCATTAATTACACAGAGGAAAGTGTTTATATAAGTACTCCCATTTTCCAGTCTCACGTCCCATAAACCCATAAATTCCATGTTTATTTACAATTTAGATCAGGGTTTCTCAGACTCTGTGCTATTGCTGTTTTAGACTGATTGATTCTTTGTTATGGGAGCTGTCCCCCATTGTAGCATGTTTAGTAGCAGCCTTGGCCTCTGCCCACTAGATGTCAGTGTTATCTCCTCCACCCCCCGCCCCCCCCCCCGAGGTGTGGCAATCAAAAATGTCTCCAGACATTGCAAAAGGTAGAGAGTAGGGGTAGGGGAGCAACATCACCCTAGTTGAGAATCACTGATCTAAACAAATGAGATATATCCTTCTAAAAACATAATCAGAGACTTCCCAGTATTTTTATGCTAGGGTAATGTGATAGAGATCATTCCTTGCCATTCTCCTTGTAAGGCGGGAGTGAATTTCAGGCCTTCGGTTAACACTTTACTTCCAAGATAGCAGTTACTATATGACACTTCTTGATAGACTTGTAAATATTAATAGACTTGTTTTATGAAAAAGATTTAAATGCACAGGTGTAGGGGTTTGTGTGTCTGTTTGAGGACTTGTGAAGTGTATTTCCTCTTCAGGGGACTATTTTTCCAGAGAGCCGCAATAGAAAGGTACTTCAGTGGTGTGATCTGATGGGGTTAGGAAGGTTTCCTTGCCTTCAAGTTTCTTTCATACTTCGGTGTCACAAATGCACAATTACAGTCCTTAACCTTATTTTTACTGTTAGCCATCTGAGATGACAGTCCATGCTCCATTTTAATATGGCAGTGATTCTGAAATAGGGAAGGACTTTAAAAAATTAGAAATCTCTACTCCTCTCACCTGAAATTTTATATCTCCTTAGAGTGTGTTTCTTCTCTCTGCCTATTTGTGTATGTTTTTTAAATTTTTTATTAACATATAATGTATTATTTGTTTTGTTTTTTCTTTGTTGTTGATAGCTGTCCAGATTGAGGGGAACCAAAACAGGAGCATCTATTACTTAAGTGTCCATCTATCTTGCCCTTTCTCTCCATTCCCCTTCCACTTGTTTTCTTTCTCTTTTTCCTCTCCTGTTTGCCCAATCTTGCTTTGATTCAAATACTTAACTGATCCGATAGCCTTCCTTTCTCTCCAAAACTCTCAATACCATCAATATTAACTAATGGTTTTAGAAGTTGGGTATTTATTGAGTACTGGAGGGAAGGGATGGGAAGATACCAAGGCTGAAAATACACAGACAGTAATTTTAGCATGTCTACAATCTAGTAGAAATATGACATATGCTCAAATGAATACTTATTTTTATTCTTAATGTACAGTTTCTGAGCATAAAGTAATATATGCTTACAGATACTTATCATAGAGATGAAAATACACAATAAAAAACCAAAAATATTAAAAAATACAAAATATCTAAGCTTCCCATAGATACATAATTTCACCACTTAGAAATAACAGATCTCAACATTGTTCTGTTTCTCTGTAGATTTTTCTGAGTTCATTCACTTATGTTGATCAAGTGCTTGTATTTCAAAGTACTATATGAGAACCATAAATACTGTACAAATAAGGATACATTGTATGTCAGTGAAGAGTAACAGTCCATGGAGCTGATGATGGTCGATTTCTCAGGCTTTGGTATCTCAATCTGAATTGTGCTTTACAGACTTGATAAACACCAAGAAGTTGAGATGATGGAGCAGCATAGCTCTTTAAATGACCGCGTAACAAGGGTATGGAAGCCTGAAGATACAAAGCATGTTCAGGAAATTTTGGCTATTCCAGTTTTCCAGAACAGTTGTTCTCAACCCTGGTTTTCATTATTATCACCTGGGGAATTAAAAGAAAAAAATCCTAATGACCAGTAACTCCTGTGATTAATTAGGTCAGAATCTTTGAGGGTAGACTCAGACATTGGTATTTTTAGAAAGCTCCTCGGATGTCCTGTGCAGCCCAAACTGAGAAAACCACTGGGCTAGAGCCCAGAGAATGAGCAGTAGGACAGGAAGAGAACCACAAGGGGAATTCAGAGCTACAATATGGATTTGTCCTTGATTTGGGATCTTATTTAGTAGACAGTGTAGAATAATTTGTTTTTGAACAAGAGAGTGACCAATCAAAGTGTAAATATAGGGAGATTGATTTTGTAGGAGACGTAGACTGCATTGGAGGGGATGAACTCAGGAGGCCTCCACCGTCTAGGCAGAAAGCACCAAGGGCATCAAATGGGTGCGGTGGAAATGGAAATGGAAAGGAGGCAGGGGCAAAGAACTAAGATGATTTTTCAGTTTTGACTCTAGAATGACCGGGAAAAGAGGGTTTTTTTTTTTTTTAAATCAGATATATAAGGCAGAATAAAAACTAGTTTGGAGACAAGATGATGAGGGTGGCTTCCGATGGAGCATAGTTGAGATTTGGAGGGACATGCCAGTGATCTCCAATGCAAAGTTGTAAATATAGGATAGAGTTCAGAAGGTGGCTTGTGGCTGTAGATGAAGATGTGAAATGCTCAACATATACAAAGAGATGAAGTTAAGGAGTCGGTCAGGTAGTTGAGTGGGGAGAATGTAGACAGAAGACGGGAAGGCTGGAACAAAATCTTTAGGTGCATCATAGTTCACAGAGTAGAAGAAGGAAGTGGAAGCATCAAAGGAGAATTGATTCAATGAAACAAATGGGTCAGATTTCTGTTCACATATACAACATATGTAATTACCACCGATATAATTTACCTAGCTTTTCTGCTTGGACAGATTAACTGAAGTGCTTTGTACTTTCTTTTCAAAAGGTGATGGCAGTTTTGGGTCTGTTTATCGAGCATCCTATGAAGGAGAAGAAGTGGCTGTGAAGATTTTCAATAAACATACATCACTTAGACTGTTAAGACAAGTAAGAAATCCAATAGTATTATTGCATTACATCAGACATTGGTAATCTCCTGGAACTCTGGTTTTGCATGTGTTTGTGAAAATGCAAAATGACCGCGTTTCCCCCAAGTCTACCTGAGTTTAGTTATGAAATCCCACCTTTGTCCTTTCCTCATGGAGGAAAAAAAAAGTTTGTTTTGTTTCTCCTGTTGAAAAATGAAGAACAGACAGTGTTCTGAGAATTCTTGTCCCAAGCATCACAGTTACACCCCAAGTACAGAAGAAAGAGGGTACCTCTTTTGAGGTCCTGTATTTCAGAGGAGCTCAAATCCTATACACAGTGGCTCATTTAAAAATTTCTCTTGGTTTCACTTCTATCACATGTTCTTTTCTCCATAAGCACTTTATGTTCAGGATGGTGCTGTGCACTGATTGGCTTAGGCCTGTGTCACTCAATCAATCTCTATGGTAATGCGGGGATGGTATTACTTAGAATAGTCACACCTTTTCCTGAGGCTGGAGTTGGGGTCAGTACCCCCTAAAATTCATAGTCTGCCTGGGTGAGGGTTGGATAACTCAGCAAAAATCAAGGTACCCTTAGGAAGAAAGAAAAGTGAGTGGATATTGATGGAAAGCTATCGGTGGTCACTCTAGTACCATCTCTGATATTGAGTACTGGTGGGGATTTATTCTATTTTCTGAGACTTTCCCGAAGTAGGAATGAGAGAGTGAGTCAGAGTGAGAGCAAAGGTAAAATCCAATTTGAATTCTGTAATCTTATGCCAGAATTCAACTGTATTTTTGAATCTATTCATTCTTATTTAAAAAAAATTTAAAAAAAGAAAAGAAAAAAAGAAAAGTAATTTCTGCCTAAATCTGAAACTAAATGACTTGTGTAAACTTTTTTTTAAAAAAAAGGCACAATTACAATATATTAGTTATTCTGGATAATGAAAATAATTCCATGTCTGTGTAAAATATCCTGCAGTAATTTTATTAGTACTATCAGAAGTTACACTGTGGCTCTAGATATAAGTTAAGAAACATTTTATATATAGAAGCAAGTCTATGAAGCAAATCTGGGCACAGTCTCTTTCAATCTGTAGGCAATTGGTTGTATAAATTGATTTTTCAGCCTTGATCATTAGTCTTTAATATATGTTTCAAATTTTATGCAGTGTGCTCAGGGAACCCTGTTGAAAATCAGAACACTAAGAATGTATACAGGACTGAGTAATGTATAGGCAGCTCGGTGACCCAAGGAAATGATAGGAGAAATAGTAGCAGTAGAGTGCGTAATGTGCTTGTTGTTGTTGTTGTTTTTTAAGGATTTTATTTATATATCTGAGATAGAGGGAGGCAGAAAGCACAAGTGGAGGAGGGAGGGTCAGAAGAAGAGAGAGAAGCAGACTCCTTGCTGAGCAGGGAGACTGACATGGGGCTCATTGTGGGGCTCGATTCCAGGACTCTGGGATCATGACCTGAGCTGAAGGCAGATGCTTAATGGACTGAGCCACCCAGGCACCCGTGCTTATTCTTAAAAAAAAAAAAAAGGAAAAGAAAAAGAAAAAAAAGGAAAGCACTTCAGGTATCCGGTGCTGCATTTTGAGGGTCATTCTACCAGTGGTCATGAACTGGGACTGATCTATTAGAGTCTCCTGCTCCTTTCTCCTTGAAATCAGTGAGCGCTTTTTGAGGATAGAAAATTTGAATTAGGCTTCTTTCTGCCTGGGACTCTGAAAGCGAACAGACCTAACTTGACTGCTTCTCAGTTTGAACCAACTGAGCTGATCAGACAGAGGAAAAAAAGATTTTTATCCACTAAGGAAATATGGTTGCAGTCTGGAGCTTTTGTTCTTGGAAAATCCCTGCTCAGGGTATTCAGCCTTTCTTCTTCAGCTTGCAGAATTCTCCACACTCCTGTGTCCTGACAAAGGCAGTTGGCACTGATACTCCACACCTTTGAAGCTGATTGTTAAGAGGCAGAGCTTCTGCAGAAATCACAGTTTAAAACATGAATCAATTTAATATCACACGAACTATAAATTTTAACTAAATTTGGGTTTCAGGGTAAAGTGAAATATAGAGTGAAGTATGTATGGCATTCACAGACCATGGTATCAGTAAAGGAGATTGTAAAGTCTCACAGGATGTGGGCTAGGAAGAGGATTACATCAGAATGGAGACCTCTCTGTTCAAGCTAAAATGGTATCTCTGACTCCTCGGGGAGACATTGTTGCAGCTGGGGATTGCTCTAGTGAGGGTGGTTCAGGGCAGGTCACTCTGAGAGAGTAAGAGTATTTGAGCTAAGATCGGAATGAGGAGAAGCCTTTGGCCCTGTGAAGGGGAAGGGATTCAGAGCAGAAGGATCAGCATGGGCCAAGGCCTTGTGGCTGGAATGAAGGAGCTGGGCACGTGCAGAGAACTGAATGGACACCAGTGTGGTGGAAGAATGCTGCATTAAGCATAGAGGGTTTGAGAGATGGGCTGGGGGCAGGTCAGATCAGGCCCCGAAGGCTGTGTAAGTACACGAGGTTTTAATCCGAAAGTAATAGGAAGTTAGTAGAGAGTTTTCAGGAGGAGTGATACCTTATATCCCTGTGGTCTTAGACACTCTCAGGAAACTTGTCTAGTCATGAAACCATTAATGATAGGCACATTGTACCTCACCTGATAGTTGCAGTTGATTAGAAGTGGCTGCTCAGAATCCTGGGCGGAGGAGGACTCTGTGGCTAACTAGGATTCACTAGATAAGAATGACATGACCTGGTAGTGTAACCACAGCGTGTGGACTGTCCCTGCATTAAATCTTCTGAAAGACACAGAGCAAAGGGAAAGACAGAACTTAACATGTTTGTTCAAAATACATTTTTAAAAAGCCATTTATTCCTGAATATGTGGAAAATACAAAAAAGACCAAGGAAGAAATGGAACATTTGTTGTAATCCAGTTTCCCAGAGAAAACCATGCCCAAAGTGTCAAGACACTTAGGAAGGAGATACTGGGGCTGTAGTACATGTAAATGTTTTTTACTTTTGCAGGAGCTGGTGGTCCTTTGTCACCTCCACCACCCCAGCTTAATATCTTTGCTGGCGGCTGGGATTCGTCCTCGAATGTTGGTGATGGAGTTGGCCTCCAAGGGTTCGCTGGACCGCTTGCTTCAGCAGGACAAAGGAAGTCTCACCAGAACCCTGCAGCACAGGATTGCACTACATGTGGCTGATGGCTTGAGGTAATTAATTCGGTCATGTGGTTTTCTACTCAGTATGTGACAAGAGGGAGCCTGAACTTACTCTCAGGCTTGGAGAACAGCACTTTCCAGTAACATTATGTCCCAGTGACATTTCACAAACAACTTGAGGGAAAAACTACCATTTCCCTGATCAGATTTTGTAATTTCATAAAATAAGAGTAGGAAGGCCACACACAACCTCCTAGATAGTGAAAGGAGAGTTTGGACCCAGGAGTCCTGCTCCAGAGCTCAGGATGTAGTGTCCTCCTTCCCCTAAAAAAATGTTAGGTTTCAAAGTGTCAAGGAAAGTGTCAGTTCTCATGGATAATTCTAATAAGGAAAGATTGGTCTGTATTTCTGAAGGGGACTGGAATGATTTGACTATCAGGGGCACACCCAACCCTGCAGCCAGCTGGCCTCAGAAGGCACAAGAGAGTAGAAAGGCCATGGTCTTTGGAGACAAAGGGACTGGGAGAAATCACTGCTCCATACACTTAGTAACTGTGATTTTACACCTCTGAAACCCTTTTTGTTAGAGTCTGTAAACTGTGACTAATACTTAATGCGTAACATTTCAAGGACTTTTGTGATAATTGAAGACCTCCCAGATTAAAGTCTGGATTTCCTCCTCCTCCACTGGCCCCATCTCCTCACGTACATATTTCACCTTGGAGTAGTCCTTCATTCCGTCCTTTCTCCCACCTCCTATACCTAATCCTTAAGCAAATACATTCAGCTCTGCCATCAAAACATATCTTAATGCAGCTACTTCTCACAATCTCTTTCCCTACCCACAGCTGAACTGTAGTCAGGGCTCCTTGCCTAACCGGCCCACTCCCCTTCACCTTTGCCCTATATAACTAGCTCCTCACATGGCAGCGGCCATGGTGGTTTTTCTTCATGGAAGTTGGATCAAGTCTTTATCCTGTTATCAATCCTCCCCTATCTCACTCTCTGGTCACTGTGCTCAGCCACTTGCTGCTGTGAGGTATCTCAGATATACCCGGGGCTTTACTAAAGCTCTTCTCTTGACTAGGAGTGTCTGAGCCCCAGATATCCTCTTGGCTCACTTCTCATTTCTTTCAGGTTTCCTCTCAGAGAGGATGTCCCTGCCTACCTTACGTCTCTCTGGCACCTATAGCACTTTTCACTACCTGGTATTCTTTATGTTTTCATTTAAAAAGTTTGTTCATTGTCTGTCACTAGAATGTAAGGGCCACGGTAGCAGGGACTTGCCATCTTGTTCACCTTCCTATCCCTGGCACTTGGGACAGTGGGCCCTCGGTAAATATCTGTTGGCAGTAGAGGGAGTGGGGAGAGAGAGAGTAGGGGGCGAGGGAGAGAGGGAGGGAGGACAGCGTACCTATTCCTCTATATGGGACTGTGTCTTTTCCTCTCAGGCAGTCTCCAGAAATGTAAATGGAATGGATGGTAAGGAAAACAAATAAACACTGCTCATAAACAAACAAAACCAAACCAAGAAGATATAACTTGATAGTGTATAGAGAATAGAACAAGAACATAAAATAACTCTTTTCTGAAAGAGTCCAGAAATTACTGAAAAACTTACAGATTACTAATGAGACAGTATTGCGGAGGTTTGGATTTGGCTGGGTGTATATCTGCTTTTGAACACCAGGGGGAACCGTGTATTAAATTAATCTAGATAATGTGCAACAAAGTCTCATGTATTTCAGAACTGGATCAGCTGCTTTCCTTAATTTAACTAAGTCCAGATCCTAATTTTCCCCTAATTCTTCCACATATTTCCCAAAATGTTTATTTAGAAAGTGAAGAATTACTATTTTTCATTCACGACTGTTTGAAAGACCTCATCTCTAAGATAACTCTCTAAGATAAGGTTCTCTGAGACCTTACTTTAAATAACAAATCCAAAAACTAAATAAATAAATAAATAAATAAATAAATAAATAACAAATCCAGCAGTTTCTGGTGAAGTAAATTAAACCTCAGCATATTTTCCTTTAATTTGCCTGATTTCTTCTCAGCATAATGCCAGGACAGCCTTCTGGATCTTTATAAGAGGCTAGTAGATTTTAGTAGCTTTCTGTCTTCTAACGGCACTAAGTATATTTTTAAAAACTCAGCATTAGGGATTGCCTTCTCAAATATATTTCAGCATAAAACTATAGGTACAGAGGTAGAAAGAGACAATAAAATCACACTCCTCTGGAGTCCCTTAAATGATGGAGCTGTTTAGAGGGATATATAAGAACTTCTTTCACATTCCCATATTCTTTTACAGTAGTGCCTACAACTATTAGCTTTCATTTCTAATTCAGTCCTCTCCCTTGAGCTCTTAATCATAATTCTCAATTACCTATGAAGATGTGGTCACCTGTATTTCCCATAAGTTTCTATGTTTCATTATTTACAAAATTGTTTCCTTTCTCTGCTACGTCCTCCTACCGTGAATCTGCTCTTTCCCTTATATCTCCCACTTGCTGACGAAGATTATTGTGGTCACATCTAGGCTATTCCTCTCCTCCCAAAAGTAAGTATCCATTTGGCCACCAGGTCTTTGACTATTTCACATTATCTTTTTTCATCGATTCATTTATTTTTAGGCTATTACTGCTGCCTTGGTCCAGTATGTCTAGGGAATTATCAGAATATTTCTCCAAAAATAAAAAATCTAATTATGCTTGAAATTCCCTGGTAGTTCCAAATTATCTGTGAAGTATGTCCAAACTCCTTGGAGTAGCATCGAAACTCTTTGTGTATGCCTCTTGCCTTTCTCTCCATCCTCCTGCCTGTCCACTGCCCTCACTTGCCATTCTAATCATGCTGAAGGTCTTTGACATCCATGTCTGTTTTGGCATTTGTCCCCAGATTTGTCTGCCTACAGAATTCATTTTCCTGTAGAATTTGCTCATATACCATCTCCACAGTGAAACTCAACTGCAGCATGAAGAGATGGCCTCTCTAGCACGTGTTCCTTGAGTTGGCTGTATGCAAGACTTTGTGTTAGGTGTTCCTTCTAAAGTGTGACTCCTCAAAAGCAGAGATTTAATGATGGCTTTATATCCCCTGGTGACTGACCTTCTTAGATACCCAATACATATTTGTTAAATGAATGAATGCATCTCATTTTTAGAATAATTCTATTTAGGGTGAGATAAAGTTTACTTTAAATTATCAAGAAAGGGGTTTCCTAGCAACACCAATGATATCACAATTAAAGAAGGACTGACAGCATTTAGACCAGTTTATTTTAATAAAATATTTGGCGATGCTCATTGTCACATAATGCATAAATTATGGCTGAATTATTTTCAGCAAGGCAAGATCTGTACTTGTTAATATATCAAAGGCTATTTTGCTGGTCTATTAGAAGCTATTAAAACTGTATTTTTTAAGATTAAATTCTATAACTGAACATTTTAACTAACCCAGTTAATCTTTCCCTCCCACTGACATTATTTCAAATTAAGTTTATTTTTTTAACCTTTGAGAAGAATTGTGAGAGAGTCTGTATTCTATAAATATTCTGAAAGAGGCATGCATTAGAAAGGATTTGGATGCTATTCAATTATACATGACTTGGCTTTAACTTTTTTCTTCTTAATCTCCCAGCTTTTCTTTCCAGCAAGGCAAGGGTAGCTAATGGCCTTTCAGTAAGCCCTTAGTAAATTTTTCTTTCTAGTCCATTACTTATTGTTAAGGTCAACTTCATTAGTACATTTATCTTATTTTTCAGCCAAAAATATGTAGAGCAGAATGAGTAGGCCTAACGTCAAATGTCCTGACTAGATCCTGGAAGAGAAATTTAGGTCTGCTTCAGCTGATGCAATTAAATGATACATACACTGTAGGCCATCATGCAGTGGAAAGTACCTAGTATTGCTGCCACTCTGCTCATAATCCCTCTAACAGTGATGGGTAGTAGGTAATGGAGTAAATATTTATAGATACAATGTGAACCCAAACCAAAAGCCACAGACAAACAAAGGATTTAAATTTGCCTCTGTTAAGTTCTGTAAAAAATTGTCCTTCCAAGATAGGTCATAATTTACCTGTGAGATCACGTGGAGAGCTATAACAAATTTGACATCATGGAGCAGGAAAGACAGAGTTGGGGAGGATGGATCTGAATTTTGTGAATATGTAAGGAAAGGTGGTAATGGAGTTACTTTAATTGTTGGAACACAGAATGGACAAGACCTGGTTAAGATTAAAACTTTGTTTTGTTTTTTAATCTTTACCTGCAGTGTCCAACTCTACTGCTTAAGTTTGATTGGATCAGTCTCCAAAGGGAATGACTTTAACATCATCCAAGATCACCTTTCCCAAGAAATTGTTTTACTCATTCCAACTCTCAGTCCAAAATGTTTTTTTGTTAATCTTAATTCATAATAGAATTGGGCTTAAAGTAAATTACATTTTTGAACAGATTATGGTATTGATAGCTAGCTAGGTTTTTTTATGTTGATTTATTATTATTGAAAAAGGTGAAAATATTTTCCCCAATTTTAGGAAACATTTTAATCAGAGAAAAATAAATATCAAAAGAGAAATGGAATAGAGAGAATTTTAAAAGCTAAGATAAACTTCTATATGGTTTTAAGAAAATCAAAACTATTAAATGGAGTTATAACAAAATACGATCAACTCTTATTTAACATATTTACATTTTAAACTAATTGAAATAGTCATATGATCTTTGAGGGAATTCACAGAATTCTTTTACATAATTCTTAGGTATACAAAAGAAAAGTGACCAAAAACTGGTACTTTGCTTGAACTGGTTGTGCCTTAAAGTTTAAATCACTCACTTATCAAGATAGACCCACTTTTTGTTGGTTTGTTGGTTGGTTTTAAAAGCACAAGCTTGGGGCGCCCGGATGACTCACTCGGTTAAGCCTATGCCTTCGGCTCAGGTCATGATCCCAGGGGCCTGGGATTGAGCCCCCTCCTCCCCCATCCAGGGTCGGGCTCTCTGCTCAGCCCGGAGTCTGCTTCTCCCTCTTCCTCTCCTTCTGTGATCTCTCTCGCTTTCATTCTCTCTTGAATAAATAAATAAAATCTTTAAAAAAAATAAAAGCACAAGATTGTTTTGTAGTATTTGGCTCATATGTTTTAATTTCCTTCTATGATATCTCTTCATCTCTGTGGAGGGGTCAAACTTAGCACAGAAGTTTTGATGCTTTGCATAATGGACATCCATATTTAAGGAAATCATGACAGAAGTTGTAATAATATAATCACATTTTAATGACATTGCCTGCACGTTTTCTGGCAGATACCTCCACTCGGCCATGATTATATACCGTGACTTGAAGCCCCACAACGTGCTGCTCTTCACCCTGTATCCCAATGCTGGCATCATTGCAAAGATTGCGGACTACGGGATTGCTCAGTACTGCTGTAGAATGGGGATAAAGACGTCAGAGGGCACACCAGGTAGGTGAGAAGGTTGATTTGGTAATTCCTTCTTCAGGATGGACAACCAGTGACTTCTGTTGTAAGTTCAGGAGACTCAAGAGAACACTGTATCCTATCATGTTGTGAACAGATATTTCTTGTGTGAATATTGTGACTACTACATTGTGGTCAATAATCACTATGGTCTGTAGGGGGAAAAAAATCTACTGATGAAATTTTCCAGGGGGAAAAAACAAATAAAAAATAGAGAATGTTGGGGCGCCTGGGTGGCTCAGTCGTTAAGCGTCTGCCTTCGGCTCAGGTCATGATCCCAGAGTCCTGGGATCGAGCCCCGCATCAGGCTCCCCGCTCCGCGGGAAGCCTGCTTCTCCCTCTCCCACTCCCCCTGCTTGTGTTCCTTCTCTGGCTGTCTTTCTCTCTGTCAAATAAATAAAACCTTTAAAAAAAATAGAGAATGTTTGATGACAAATTATATTTTTAAAAGTTGGATTTTTAAAATATTTAGATATTCTAGAGGTGGTAAAAAGGAACAGAAAAAGTTTTAAACTAGGTATTGTTCACACTTACCTAAAAATGAGGCAAACCAAATGCAGGTTCACAAACCCTTTCTCATAACTCTGAAATCCAAAGAACTTTGAAAACCCCCAATTTTTTTAATAACTGATTTGGCAGCAAAATCTGACCCAAACTAACTTGATGCTTATTACGATCTTTATTTCTCAAACTCTGTGCGAATATGTGTATGTTTCATGATAGAAATACAGCACATTTGAGTACAGGGTGCTGGTCCCGATCCTACTGAGAGTTTCTATAATTATGTTATGTGCATCATTATTAACTTTCTTAAATATGAAAAAATATAAATTCCTAAATACTTTTGGCTCCAAGAGTTTCAGATGGAGACTTGGGGCCAGAGTTTTCAGTTGTACTGTTCTTGATACAGGCATACTTTCTTCTTACAGATTGGTACAGGAGTTAAAACCTTTAAACACTGCACTTCAGTTTTCTTTCTTCAAAATGTATAAGTTAATACATCAATACTTAATAATAATATAGTTTCTCTGTTTGGTCCTATATAGCAAGAAGAGTCATGGTTACTATCTAAAGTGAAACGTACCTATCCTGGTTATCATTATATCTATGGTCTCCAGAAATCACAGACACTGTTTTATTGCCTTAGAGTTTAATGTTGCTTTTTAGGGTTATCTACAACCCCTATTTGTCATGCCTGTTCTAATAATCCTATTACTTCTACTGTTAACTGACTTTCTACCAGTGATAATCCACTTCCTGTGCTCTTGTATTTGCACGGTCTTATGTTTAGACGTGTTCTTTCACATTACTGTCTACTCCATGGGATCCTCCCTCCCTTTCTCAACTCCTGTTCTCCTGATAGTCTCAGGTTCATCAGAATCTCAGGTTCTGATTAGTAAGAAACAGTCATAAAGCAAGTGCTCTGTACAGAGATATCTTGTCTTTTGGCCTTCAGTTTGAGCAGGAATAGAAAATTGGGGGGTTAACTTATGTTTGGAGGAACAGCTCCATCTTCAGAGAAATCTTGTACAGTTTGTTATTTGTAAATAAATTTACATCATCTTGATGATTGGCACTCATTTAAAACACATGCCTAATACAGAATACAATGGGGTGACAATAACCCCACACCCTGGTATGAACTTGGATAAGCAGATGGTCCCAGATTGCAATGCATGGTTTTATTTTTGCTCCAAAGACATATCCTCTCTTTTGTTATTCATAGCATGTGTTGGAAGCAGAGTGTGCTCTCTCCTAAACCTTTCAAAGTACATATTATGGCTGCAAGTTTCTCTGGGTTGTTTAATAACAATAAAATGATTATCTCTTGAGCACCAGCTGTGTATCAGGCTCAGTGCCAGGTACATCAGACACATGGTGTCTTATCCTCATGCCAAGGCTGAAAGTTAGCTTTTACCTTCTCATCTGTAAAATGAGGAAGCTGAGGGTCAGCAAGATTCTGTACTTGCAGGAAGTCATGCAGTAAGTGGTCAAGATAAGAACTCAATCTAAATGAATAATGAATCCAGAACTATTTGGCTTTAAATCCTAAATCTTTCTCCTAGATTACATGCAACTCTAACATGGCTTAAATATTCAATCTTAGTTACTAAAAAATCAAAATAAACAAAGCAAAATGATGGGACCATGAACAGCCAACATTATCAAGTACAGGTTTGGAAGAAGAATCTTAGAGGATGGAATTCCATAGGCTTCCTATACTCCCACCTAGAAAATGTGGGCACAGGTTAGGGGTCTTCTTTTGGGAGATCTGCTCATGACTCTCATGTGATATGAAGGTGGGCCAGACCACTCAACTGAGGCCTACAATTTGCTCCCCCTCCAAACCCCAACCTAGTCATGATGTTCATGGAGTAGAAATCCTACTGATGAGGTCTTGTCCATCTACTTGGGCAGAGGATCTGTCTGGTTCCAGTTGACTGTGTTCTGGGCCTCAAACCTGCCACCTCCCTCAGCGGGCTGGGCCAGCCAGCAGCCACTCAGTTCAACTCTGTTCAGACTCATGGCCCTTCCTTTTAAGTACCTGACTTCCTGGTTTTGGTGAAAACCTGCCTAGAGTTCAATATCCAGTTGATTTTTCATGCCAAGCCGGATACTTTTTACTGATCCTTTTAATCTGCTATATCAATGTGCAGTAACATACATAATGGAGAAAGATCATGACAGAAAAACCCAAAGCCTGATTCTTTCTGTTCCATCCCTTTCCCCCCAGGCTGCTTAATACATTGTAAGCATTTTTTCTCATTATCCTGGACCTTCTCTTTATCATTACTGTATTCATTATTGTTAGAGCACTTCTGATTATCTCAGCTCTAAACTCAGCCTCAAATTTTAAATAACAGTAACTGTCACCACTGCTAACCACCATCACCAAACTTTTCCTTCTCCAAATCATGTTTGAGAAGAAAATCATCCCCTTCCATATGATTTCAGTTATCTCCAGTCTTTTCCTTTTAATGGATCTTTTAATGTTATAATCTTTAACTTGGAAACTTCTAGAGAAACAAAAGACCATACATTTGTTAAACTTGTGTGTGTGTGTGTGTGTGTGTATGTTTTAACCTTTACTGTGGTGCATTCACTCTGTTGTGTGCATGTGAAAGTGGGTTCATCACTGCTTTCTGAGAGAAGATGGGAATGGGAGCAAACCTTTTGTGGCACGGACAGTGTGCTGCCTTGTGCTTAGACTTTTGTGTGGGTTGATTATCTCATTTAATCCTTATGACTGCCTGACATAGGTCTTATTACTATTCCTGGTTTACAGATAAGGCAACTAAAGCTTAGGGCCCATTAGAAGTGTCTATAGGGTCATACAAGATGCAAATCCAACCTATCAGGGAGCAGAGCCTCTGCTAGGCGGCATCAAAGATGGAAAGCAAGTTAGAAACAACTCAGTTATTGGCAAGGACTGATGCAGTGTCTGTTTACATTTCGAAAGGTAAATATAGGATGGATTCTTTCAACTATAAATAATTTGGAGAGCTTCAACTTAACTCGGTTAAATGGATATATTTATATCATATCCTGTTGAGAATGACAGTCAGTTCTGGGTCCTGTGACAGCGACACTGTTGACTGAGGTGGATGCTGAATGATGGCTCCAACTCTGCCAACATCCATAGAAATACAGTTGTCTTTGGACAGATAAAGTATTATTCTCTGGTTAAACACTATTATCTGATAGAGATTATGAAACATGCTCTACTGATATTTCTCTCAAAGTAAAAAAGGAAAGAAAATATATGTTTCTGTGTACTATGTGATGTATAGTCTGACCTAACATAAATTTCTCATATATATTTTTTAATATTTTATTTATTTATTTGAGAGAGAGGGACAGAGAGAGCATGGGTGGGAGGAGGGGCAGAGGGACAAGCACACTCCCTGCTGGGCAGGGAGCCCAAACACAGGGCTTGATCCCAGGACCCTGAGATCATGACTGAAGGCAGATGCCTAACTGACTAAGCCACCAGGTGCCCCTAAATTTCTCATATTTTTGATCTGTGGATCTTTTCCTTATTTACTCATTGCTTTTGTTGAAATTCAGGTTCATTTGAGAAGTTATTTTTTAAAAATAGTTTTTAGACAATGAATCGTATTTTCCCAATTATTTTGACATTGTAATTGTTATGATAATTCTCCAAGGGAAAATTATCTTTATTCTTTATTCATTTCTTCATGTATCTGGCAATAATTTATTGCATATTTGCCAAATATCAAACTGGTGCTACTACTTAATAACTGTGTGGTGTTCATCAGGATTTGCTTTCTGGGGCTCAGTTTTCACTTCTGTAAATTGTGATGAGAAAAAGTAATGCCTACCTCAGGGGGTTGTTTTAAGGGTGAAATGAAATCATCCACATAAATAGCATAGAATAAGTCTTCGCATATTGCAGTTGCTTCAACCATGTTAGCAATTGCTCTAGTGATGAATTTGGGGAATGTGCATGAATAAATGTGAATTTTATCCTCCAGAAAGCACATATTCTGCCAAGACAAATAGGGCTATAAACAAATAATCATAAAGCATTTTGCCAGTTTCAGTAGGCGATCTAGTTCAAGGTATAGTGATAAGAGCACAAAGGATCAAGTACTTAACTGAGTTGTAAGTTTCAGACTTCCCTTCATATAGGACATTATTCTGGAATTATATCTTAAAGGATAAGCTGGAAGTTTGAGAAAACAAAAAAATTAAAGAGCCGGAGTAGACATTCCAGGCAAAAGGCACTAAGGTATAATAGACTTGTCTTATTTAAATAACTGCAAGAAAGTCTTATGGTCTAAGTGATAGATGGAGGATGGAAGGTTATTTACTAAGTGTCTTTCAATTCTGGCTGTGTACTAGATAGCATGTAGAGCTTTAAAAATGTATCTAGTGGGGTTATATCATTTATAATTCTATTTTAGTAGGCATGGGTGGAATTCTCAATCTCTCCACAGGTTAGAAGCTCCTGGAGAACTTCC